TAGGATGTGATATAAGCTAAGCTGGATATGGTGGAAATCAGGCCATTTACATCTGTGCCCATAAATTTCGACTTGAGTTGACACTAGGTAGCCATAAAAAGTGTGAGCTAGTTGTTCTCTGCTTAGTCCTACCTGTCTTGCCAGTGAGAGGCAAGAAGAGAAATAAAGAAAAGGCACACAGCCTAGACTTAGCCGGTGTGGATCCGTGTGCTTCCTTCAATACACACATACTTCTGCAATACATAAATGCATTGCTGATATTCTGGTGCTTCTGCTTGTTGTTTGGTAAAGGCAAACATGCACTTAGAAGCCTTCCCAACTCTTGAGTTGTGCAGACAGACTTTATCGAGATAAGGAGATCTCTAAACGGCTTTTCTATAGTAGGTCTAAACTTAATCTAGTTGGAAGAGCCGAAAAAAGGCAGAAAAAGCAGAGTTGCTGAATGCTTTCTTTGCTTGGTGTTTACCAAGGGCAGCCCTTTAGAGTCCCAGGCCCTAAGGACAAGAAAAGAAACCTGGAGAGAGGAAGACTTGCCCTGGGTAGGGGCAGATTGGGTCAGAGAGCACCTAAGGAAACTCGATACCCACAAATCCATGGGCCCTGATGGGATGCACCCCAGAGTGCTGCATGAGCTGGTGAATGCCATAGCTAAGCTGCTCTCCATCATCTTTGAAAGACCCTGGAGAATGGGGGAGGTCTGGAAGAAAGCCAATGTCACGCCAGTCTTCAAAAAAGGCAAGAAGGAGGATGCAGGCAACTACAGGCCAGTGAGCCACACCTCTGTCCCCAGAAAAGTGATGGAATGGCTCATACTGGCAGTTGTCTCTGGGCACGTGGAGGACAAGAAGGTGCTCAGAAGTAATCAGCATGGATTCACCAAGGGGAAATCATGCTTGACTCACCTGATATAGCCTTATATGATGGAATGCCCAGCTGGATAAATGAGGGGAGAGCGGTGGATGTCGTCTATCTTGACTTCACCAGGGCTTTTGACACCGTCCCTCACAACATCCTCCTGGGCAAGCTCCGGAAGTGTGGGATAGATGAGTGCACAGTGAGGTGGATTAGGAACTGGCTGGATGGCAGAGCTCAAAAGGCGGTGCTCAGCGGTGCAGAGTCTAGTTGGAGGCCTGTAGCTAGTGGTGTCCCCCAGGGGTCAGTCCTCAGTTCAGTTCCGTTCAATCTATTCATCTATGACCTGACAGAGTGCTCCCTAGTAAGTTTGCTGATGATACCAAACTGGGAGGAGTAGCTGATACCCCAGAGGGCTGCGCTGCCATCCAGAGGGACCTGGACAGACTGGACAACTAGGCAGCGAAAAGCCTCATGAAATTCACACGAACAGCACATGCACAAAGCTGCCCAGGAAAGGGAACCCATTTATCAGACTTGCCCTCTTCTACAAAACACTCGCAAAGCTGGATAAAATAAACTACTCAAACCATAAGCACCCATGCAAAACTCTTGAAGATTTTCATTAACAGCTCTGGTTTGCATAGATGAATAAAAACTTCTGACATAATTACTAAGAGATGATACAACTGCAACTTTTTCTACAATACTCCAATCATTTCTAATTTAATCCTTAATTTTGTTTTAAAAATTCCCCTTCTCCAGGCAGAAATTAGATCAAATATTCATTACACTAGATGAAGTATTCACTTTCTATTATTAAATTGTATTGTGTCCAGTTCTGGGCTCCACAGTATAAGAGGGATGTGGAGAGAGTCCAGCGCAGGGCTACAAGGATGATCAGGGGCCTGGAACATCTGCCCTATGAGGAGAGACTGAGAGAGCTGGGCCTGTTAAGCCTGGAGAAGAGAAGGCTGAGAGGGGATCTGATCAGTGTCTATAAGTACCTCAAGGGAGGCAGTGAGGAGGATGGTGCTGGCCTCTTTTCAGTGGTGGCCACCAACAGAGCTAGAGGTAATGGCCACAAACTGAAGCACCAAAAGTTCCACAGGAACTTAAGGAAAAATTTCTTAACAGTGAGGGTGACAGAGCACTGGAACAGACTGCCCAGAGAGGTTGTGGAGTCTCCTTCTCTGGAGATCTTCAAAACCCGCTTGGACGCAGTCCTGTGCCACATGCTCTAGGTGACCCTGCGTGTGCAGGGGGGTTGGACTAGATGACCTCTAGAGGCCCCTTCCAACCTTGAGCATTCTATGATTCTATGAAGATAACCCTTTTGATTGTACAACACTTTGAACAAGACATATCTGTTTACTTCAGTTGAAATGTGAACATTTTGTATTTTTATACTGAGGGCCTCTCTACAACATGCTGGTGAAAAGCAACTGATTAGAATACTTGCATTATTGGAGCCCTCTAGTGGGGACTGTAAACTCAACAAGTTTGCAATAAATCGTGCTGCTTTAATTTGTAATGCAATATGCAATTTTGGTGTGGCTCTTGCCTTCCTGCACCATCTGAATATATTATGGAAATTTTCCTTTTAAAACAGAAGGTGTAATTCCAGTCTTTGCGCAGTTAACCTTGCTTTATTGTCTTTAAATATACAACTTTATTTTTCACTCTAGATCTGCAGAGTCATTGCAGGAATAGCTATAGTTTAGAGCCCAGATAGCCACCCTTGTGGATTCCTGGCTGTAAAGGATCATCAAATCTGTAGGAGTACAGATTATGTAATTCATACTCTATGGTGGTATAAGATGACGATTTGTCATTATCATTTTCTTTCAGGCTACCTTCAGGAAGCCTATTTGTGGACCAAGCAAGTGCTGGCAATCATGGAGAAGTCAGTAGTCCTACTCCAGGAGGTTACAGATGGCTCCCTCTATGAAGGGGTGGCTTATGGCAGCTACACAACCAGATCTCTGTTTCAGTACATGTTTTTTGTCCAAAGGCACTTTGATATCAATCACTTCAGCCACCCTTGGCTGAAACAGCACTTTGCATTCATGTACAGGACTGTCCTGCCAGGTAAGTCATTTGGATCAATGAAGATATAATTTCTAAAGCAGCATTAAATTTTGTACTTAGAGTAGATCATTTTTCAATAATCTTTCACTTGTATTTTGCTGTGCTATCATCATCCTTCAAAACAGTGTTATCCTTGTTTATCACTTTTTAGTAAACATCAGTGGTACTTAAGCTCTGGCTTTTAGAACCAGTCGAAAGATGGAAACATTGTTTGGGAGAAAAGTCAATGCCTCAAAATATGATTTCATTTTTCTAACTTTGAAAAAATGTATTTCTGAGGTTTTCTGTTTGAAAAATAATCTTATTTGGGGTTCTTAATTATCTTTTTCTTTTCACAAAAATAATCACGAGAACAACTTTTGGTGAAAGGAAAAGCAAATGATGAAAACAGTAAAAGTATCCACAAAGTAAAGTTTTACATGATCCACCATTTTCCACAAAACATTGAAATTTATATTTATAATAATTTTATTAAAAATATTTTTAATATAGAAGATGTGATTGACTTGGTTGACAGATTTGTCAGTACAAGCCAAGGATGCAGGAATTAGTCTTTTTGGTTAATATGAGAGTCAAACAAAAATATCAGGAACTGCTAATGGGACTGTTTTGCAGACGTTTTATTATTTCTATACTCATACTGTGTCACTCTGAGACACTCTCCTGTGTCTCTCAATGTATTTTAGCATCTCTGATTTGGAGTTCTAGTTATTGCTGAAATACGAACACATGAAATACAAATATGAAAATAATTACAAGCTAATAAATACAGACAACCTTTTCTATCTTTGAGAAAAGATTTAGCTTCAGAATTTAGCTCCCAAGTTTTGGATTATGGTTTTGTATTGAGTATTTTAAGGTCAATTAATTAGGAACTTATTTTTTCTAACCTGCTGTTTACAAAGATAAATGATAATTTTACTGGATATTAAAAACTGCAGTTCAGCATAAGCAGAGTATTTCTGGCAGTTTTTGACAGCTGATTTGTAAAAAAAAAAAAAAAAATTTAGTCACATATCCAAGGGGTGATGAGCACAGCATTGACGTGTCAGTGCAGACGTGTAAGACGTGTAATTGCACTGAATCCATGTGATACTTCAGGCATCTCCTGGGGAAAGAGCAGATATGCAAAATACGAACATATTTTAACTGTTTCAGGGCTGAAGCAGATTGTTTTTTTCTTGAGGAAACCTCTGTGCTGTACCCTTAAGAGTTTGAATTGACATAGGAAAAGTGAGAGTTGAGTGAGGAAAGGAAGTGGATGGGACATTTCCGTTTTACATTTTCGTAGCCTGCTAGCCCATAGCTGAAAAAGAAAGGTGAGTATTCAAGTTAGCAACTGCAGAGCGAAATAACTCCTGTGTAAGCCATTTATGGTTCATTTAAGAAGAAGCCTCTAAACATCTCAAAAGGCTATGTCTGTTTGTGTCTGTCTGCACTGCTTCATCCTTGTGCTCTACAAACATATCTGTGTGCGTGTATTTTGTTCTTCCTTACATGCCTTTTGACTTTTCCCCAAGGATTCCAGAGAACAGTGGCCATCGCAGATTCCAACTACAACTGGTTCTACGGGCCGGAGAGCCAGCTGGTGTTTCTTGACAAGTTCGTCATGCGCAACGGCAGCGGGAACTGGCTGGCAGAGCAGATCAGAAGGAACCGCGTGGTGGAAGGTCCAGGGACCCCGTCCAAGGGGCAGAGGTGGTGCACTCTCCACACTGAGTTTCTCTGGTACGAAAGGGAATGAGTAGGCTTCAAAGAAACATGACTGCTGCTTGCTATTAGTGATAAGCTGTTGCTTTTAGATACGTATTAAACTGCGGAAGCAGGATTGTGCGGGTCATTTGCAACCCAGAGGGTCTTGAAGCTCAGGCAATATAAGACCTTCTTGACTTTACATAGATATACTGGTGTGTTGCTACAGATTATACCTTGGTCTTGTCCTGGCAAATATTTTTTAATTTGCCATTTCTGTTTAGAATAAAAGTGATGTCAAATGACTCAATCCTGTTTTTCCATACAACTCACACCTGTCCTAACTCATATGATAAGTCAGTCTACTAAAGACAAGAAATGAACAGATCAGAGGCTTTAAATAAACATATAAATCCCCTTAGTCAGTAGAGAGAGCAGATACATTTCCAAGGAGTTAATGTGGTTCCATTTCTCTCTCTTTTTAGAAAAATATTATTGAGCGCATGTCATTTATATTCATGATATGCACATTAAAAATGTGTATTTACTGGGCTCCAAGCACCCTTCAGCTTGTTATCTACAAATTACAGAATCTTCTTCTACATTCCTTCATTTTCTTCTCTTAGTGTCTCCATGGGAATCTTGGAAATATATGCTAAGAACTTTTTTCTAGATGCCAAAGGGGAAAGGGAATAATATTTTTAAGATTTGAGGCAAAACAAAACAAAACAAAAGCTTTGAGCAGCTGCTTTTCCCCTGCACCACAGGGACATGTATTGGAGTCTGCTTCTAAGGAGTTTTCCATCAAGGACTGCTATCAGGCTTCTAGCACTGGTCAGAATTACCTAAACGTGTATGCAGGACACGAGCTTTCCTTGCTTAGGGCCTGGCTGAGGCTCCTAGTTAGTTGCAGAGAATAATTCTGATGAGGAACCATGTGGCAGAAATATTAATCTTATTGATAGTTTTGTTTATTTTAACTGCTTAAAAATGATGCCAGAGGGATGGGGATTTTTTGTTTTTCTTTTTTTTTCTTTTTTTTTGATTTCTTTTTGCTTTAACTCTTGTAAAAGAAACAAAAGTGGTAAGCATCTTAATCTTTTCAGTAATTAAGATTTCTTTTTAAACCAAATGTTTTGCACCTTATAATTTATATAAGAAAGCCAGAGAAAGCCATATAAATTCTTCAGTCTAGTTGGAGAAGGAAAGTGACATATACTAAGTGCTATAAATTATAAAGATTTATCCTTTAAAATATCTTTTCATGAACTTCTAGCTAATTTCTAATTCTATTTGAAGACTACAGACTTCCTATAATCATCAGTTTTGAGGAAAGTTGCAGATATGTTACTTGCTTCTCTCGGTTAAGTAGTCTTCATCTACAGCCTGGTGCTAATGCACTTTTTTCAAAGGATTTGTATTACAGTCAGCAGTTTTATGAAATGTGCCAAAGCATGGCTTATTTCACAGAAATAAATGATATTTTTAGCTTTGGACTACAGAGGGATTGATCACTTTAAGTGTGGAGTAGAGGCATTCCGCTATTATTCTGTAAAAATCATATATTAATTTGACTCATGTAAACATTTTTGAGGATTAGCATGCTAAATATTCTAATGACTGTGATTAGTTCACTCAGCAAACATATGCATTGGCTTTATATTATTAAGTGGCTCCTTAATGCATTGAATCATATTTTGAGTTTTGTATGGATACTGGTAGTGGAATGGACCACTTGATTCCAAAGCTGTCTTCCTTTTCTGCTTGGCAGGTATGATGCGAGTTTGCACTCCGTTCCTCCGCCGGACTATGGGGTTCCAAAGCTGCATTATTTTGAGGACTGGGGAGTGGTGACCTACGGGAGTGCGTTGCCAGCTGAAATCAACAGGCCTTTCCTTTCCTTCAAGTCAGGAAAGCTGGGAGGACGTGCAATATATGATATTGTTCATAAGAACAAGTATAAAGAGTGGATCAAGGGATGGAGGAACTTTAATGCTGGCCATGAACACCCAGACCAGAACTCCTTTACTTTTGCTCCCAATGGTGTACCTTTCATAACAGAAGCTCTATATGGGCCCAAATATACTTTTTTTAACAATGTGCTGATGTTTTCCCCTGCTGTGTCCAAGAGCTGCTTCTCCCCATGGGAAGGGCAGATCACAGAGGACTGTTCCTCTAAGTGGCTGAAATACAAGCATGATTTGGCTGGTGATTGCCAGGGACGAGTGGTTGCCGCAGTGGAGAGAAGTGGGGTGGTTTTTATCAGGGGCGAAGGAGTGGGTGCTTACAATCCAAAGCTCAAGCTGAGAAAACTGCAAAGAAACCTTGTGCTTCTCCACCCCCAGCTTCTGCTGCTGGTAGACCAAATCCATCTGGACGATGATAGCCCCTTGGAGGCAGCGACCAGTTTCTTCCACAATGTGGATGTGCCTTTTGAAGAGACAGTGGTAGATGAGGTCCACGGAGCTTTCATTAGGCACCGTGATGGGATATATAAGATGTACTGGATGGATGACACTGGTCACAGTGAGAAAGCTATCATTGCCTCAAGGATGTATCCCCGGGGTTACCCCTACAACGGAACGAACTATGTGAACGTGACCACCCTCCTGAGGCACCCGTTCACGAGAGCCATTTACATTTTCATCGGGCCTTCCGTGGATGTGCAGAGCTTCACGGTCCATGGGGATTCTCAGCAACTGGACATTTTCGTCACCACCAGTGAGCATGCCTATGCAGTTTACCTGTGGACTGTGGAGGATGGACCACGTGCTGCCTTGGCCCAGGTTATTGCAGACCGCCAGAAAATTATCTTTGACCGAGCCTCTGCCATTAGGACCTCTACAGTGCCAGAAGTGAAAGATTACGTAGGGATTGTGGAGAGGAACCTGCAGCATTTTAAGCCTGTTTTCCAGCAGCTTGAGAAGCAGATCTTGTCACGTGTACGAAACACGGCCAGCTTTAGGAAGACTGCTGAGCGCCTACTGAGATTTTCAGATAAGAGGCAGACAGAGGAGGCCATTGACAGAATATTTGCAATCTCACAGAGGCAGCAGCAGCAGCAGCGTGGCAGAGCAAAGAAAAATAGAAAGGTGGCCAAAGGCTACAAATTTGTTGATGCTGTTCCTGACATTTTTGCACAAATTGAGGTAAACGAAAGAAAAGTGCGGCAAAAGGCACAGACTCAAGCCCAAAAAGAGTTGCCTATAGATGAAGATGAGGAAATGAAAGATCTCTTGGATTTTGCAGATATCACTTATGTGAAGCACAAAACTGGTGTGTCAATCAAAGGCCGATCAGGGCTGGCACAGATGGTGACAACTGCTCGAAGCAGTGCCCCATCAATATCAGCTTCTTACACTCGCCTCTTTCTAATTCTCAACATCGCTATTTTTTTTGTTATGTTGGCAATGCAGCTCACCTATTTTCAGAAGGCCAAGAGACTGCATGGTCAAAGATGTCTGTATGCAATACTTTTGGTAGACAGCTGTATATTATTGTGGCTGTATTCTTCCTGTTCCCAGTCACAATGTTAGCAGAAGACCTCTACTAGTCGACCAGTTTATGGTCATATATAACTATGCAAAAGCATTAACCCTAATAGGGCCAAAGTTAATGTTCTTTTTCTGAAACATTCCAATAAACAGCTGGGATAAGATCGATTTCAGACCAGAAGGGATGGAGGAATAGGAAAAGCAATAAATTTCTGAGAAAATTAAGTGCTTAATAAGTACTCCTCCTTGTATTTTGAGTCGGGCCTCACATCCGAGGGAATGATATGCTTCGTTCATCAGAGTTTAGTAATGTAAAGTTGTAATTATTTTTTTATGAGATTAGCCCTCTTTTAAGAGATTTGTTTCAAAGGGCTATGTTATTTTATACAGAATTGGGTTCGTGTCAGTGAGTTTTCATTTCAGGCTGCTATGGGTGTTCTCTTAAGACAAGGACATTCAAACACAAGTATGCAAGGCAGACCTTAGCAGTAGATTTCATTTCTCTCTGCCAAACCAAAGAGTACTTCAGTATGAGACACTCCTGTACAAGTATTTCAGATCCTTATGTCATGTCATCACTTTTATACAATCTCACAGGAGGCAAAAGGGCTAACTTGAAGTATAAGGGAATACAATTCTCTGGAAAAAAAAAAGAAAACAAAAAAAAAAAAAGAAAAAAGAAATTTTATCTTTCAGCCAAGTGAAGACTGTAGAATAATGAATGCTGTAGGGTCTGTTCTTGATTTTACAGGTTAAGATCTCACAAAGATTTTCTATACTTCGGAGTACATCTTACTAGGAAATGTCCTACATCACTGCCCTTCCATGCAATTGCAAAAATGCAAAAAAAAACACAAAGCAATCCTGTGGTAACCTTAGCAATTGCAATATGGAAAAAGAGGTATTAAGAAACTATTTAATTTTTTTTTTCTGTTCACATTGCTGGAAACAGAGGACAGTTAAAACTGTGTGAACAGTTTGTTCTCTATAAAGCACAAGCAAGTGTTCTGCAAGCTGTTAGTGGCCCATGGGTCAATTATTTGGGAATTACTGGTAAATGGAATCATGTGGTTTATGAAAGAAATGGGTTTGATATTTCCATATATATTCCCCCTCAATTCATCAAATTGTTTTTTTAAAAAATTATGGCTATTCAAGAAAATGGAAGCTCTATGGAAATAGTGCATATCTGTTTTTCTTTACAGAAAAAGAAAATTCTTTCATTACATTTGCTAAATAAAAACATTATAGATATTGTCTCTGCTGAAAAGTTTTTCTATGACTAAAGAAATCTCTAATAATTATAGACATAGTGTTCAATAGCACTCTGTTCAAATCATAAAACTCTGTTTCCTGTATGGTATTGTTATCTATCTGCTGTGTTATTGTTAATCTTTGATAGGCTACCTATCACTGGAGAGTTCCATTTTTCCTGCCTGTGATACCTGTTTCTGCACAGTGATGACAGAATGTATGCAAAAATGGCTGTTGGGTTATGTTCAATTTCAAAGATGGTGTTAGCTGTTCTATTACTAGGTGATACTATGAATGGTTGTTTCAGTGAAACACTGAAAAATCAAGATACAGGTGTTGCTGATGGAGCTTAGTTGTGCTGACTGATACATCCCTCCCTTGGCAACAAGTGCCAATATCTTTTTCAAGGAAAATGCAGGAACTTGTGATGCCTTATTAGCAAATAAGCTGTGCATGCATCAGTCAGATTCAGACAGAAAGACACTTACAAATAGTGCACCATCTTCTGTCTTTCATTTCCACATCCTCATGGGGACATAAAACTTTCAAGCAATCTGGTGGCTCTGAGCCTTTATTCAGCCAGAGCTTTTGCTTTGCTTCATGCCCACGCACATTTGCCCACATTTATCAGTCTGCCATTGCTTTCTTGAATAGACAGCTCTAGAACGCCATCCCCCAGAAAGCTTTGGAGAAACACCTCCATTTCTTGGCCTGCTGTGGCCAAGACACGCCGTCTAAATTCTAGATGCTGCCTGTTCTCAGAGCCCCTTCATCTGGCAGAAAGGGCAGGTTGTAAAGCAGTTTTTAAAGCAGACCAGCTTGCAAATGAGGAATGTGGATGCGATAGTGGAGTAAAAGGAGATTAAAAGTGCCAGTCCTTTATTCTGAATGGGAGATCAGATCCATTCCTGCATGAAGGGGGAATCCTAGATTTTTTCCACACATGCTTGGTTTACATCTTGCTGTGTACCTTTTTTTTTTGTCTGTCTGCAGATGGCTGTCTTTGATGGCTATTCTGAACTCCATTTACACAGGTGCAATTTTTATTCAGTTAGGGCAGGTAAGCTTTGCTTCAACAAATAATTAAGCCATTGGATATATTTCAGGCATAAAAGAGTATCTATCATCTCACTCGTATTTTCTTAGTCCTTCCTTTCCCAGGCCTTTAGTACCTCTCCAATGGTCCTACAAACTTTGTTTCCATTCTTCTTTCCTTCCATACTTCTTCCCTTCTTCCTCCAATTTCCTAGGTAAGATCATAATTTCTTTTAATGGAATTTGGACAAAATAGAAAAGATGATGTTTCCATGTGGGCAGCAACCAACAATTCATACTGTTGGGCAGAAGTGTCACAAACTACTTAAGAAGAAATGATTCAAGCCCTCAAGATGATGACATACACTGAAAAAAAAAAAAAACAGAAAAGGAAAAAAAAAAAAGAAAGAAAGAAAAAAGGAGATGCCTGGATGTGCTTTGCTTGGAAGAGACAGTGAAAGGAATCAGCCCAGACAGTCATAGGGGCTGGTATAAGTGCTGAAGGTTACATCCTTTAACAGCTTGCTGGCATAGGAGAGGTGTCTGTGCTATTTGGCCGAAATACAAGAGTGAAGTAATCACAGTGAAATCTAAATCCACAGCAGAGGCACTTAGCACTAGTCTCACCTAGACAGGGTATACTCAACAACTTTTTAGAAGTTGTTTTGTGGTGTGAAGAAGCGCAGTTATCTTCCACTTTCTGTTAAAATGGAATCACAATAGTAAAGTGTAGCTGGCAATGCCTCTGCATGAGTACGGGGTGTGTGGATGGGTTCCTGTGCTCATATGAGACCCTGCTGACTTCATTCAACTTCTTCATGGTACTTAATGATCAGTCACACATGTTTTGTTTCAGGGACACAGTCTAATTTAGTGTAAAGTTAGTTCAAAGGATTCTGAGCAAAGCCAGTGGGAACTTGGCCCATTGGTAGCTGTATACATGGCTTAGGATAGAATCTGATTCTTAGTTTTTTGAGTGTTTTTTCAGAAAAAAAATAGATGGATGGGAGATTCATTTATGTTATATATATCATTCTGCAACTAAAGGAAGCAAAGGGAATGGAGCGCATTACCTCATTTCTTAAAACTCGTAAGATCAAAGCTTATCCTGAAGGATTATATGTATCAAATTCATCTGTGGGTCTACGTTTTCATAGACAGTATTTTCCACTGATGAAAAGTTTTCTCTTTTTGTCTGAAAGTATAGAGTTATTTGAAAAATAACTGTATTTCTGAACCCAGTCTTTGCATTCACAATACAATTATCGGGTCTGCAAAAAGCTTATTTGGGATCAAACATGCTTCTGACTAACTGTAGTCCTTCTGCCCTGTTATTATTCAGCAGGGTAACCTTAAGTTGGTAAATCACCTTTGGTTCTGGGAGCACTCTGCAATAGGAGGCCTATGCATCTGAGTGCCAAGTCTGTACTGTCATCTGTACATAGCCTGCTTTTCAAATCAATTAACCTTGGAAACAAATAATGTCAAAGCACTCCAAAGAAAGACCCCAGGACCCATTCAAGGAAGAAACAGTTGTTGTCTGTTTGAGGTCACTGCTGCAAAGGCAGGCAGAACTGGATCAAATCACATTATATGTAAGTACACCAAAAAAATACTCTGAAACACAAGAGTAAGCTGAGACTATCTCTTTGAGTGAATCCTCAAAAACAGCATCAAAATAAATATTGAAATATGAATCCATGTATATGAGGCCATATCCTTTCTACTTTAATTTGCATTAATAAAAGGAGCAACAGTGATATTTCTGTGGCAATGGCACAGAATGCCATAATGTCATGCCATTGCCACAGAATATCACAATGGCACTTCATTTCCACTAATTTGTTCCTATTCGCTCCTCCCAAAGGTAGAAAATGGCATGAGGAGAGACACTGGTGGTATGCTTCTGTATATCTGCTCTCCGCATGAGTGCCTACAATGCTACCAAATTCATGGTGGAAAAATTACCACCATTTTTATACTGAAAAACAAGACTTCAGGATCGTAACAGTCCCCTCAGCATGATGTGGCTTCATCTTCTTCCTTTGACTCGGACTCCAAAACGCCAGAGATTTCTGTGATTTTACTTCTTATTCACCCTGGGAGAAAGAGAGCAAAATCAGGCCCCCCAACAATGCACTGCTCCAGGCCATATCCTTCTGAGTCATACTGTGAAATCCAGAGAGTAAGCTGTGGAGAACTAATTTCTCCCCTCTTCACAGAGAAGTCCCCTGGAGAGGATGCCATGACACGCTTCACTTAAGAGGCAAATTCTTCCATTCGTCCTACTTGAAGGTACATAGCAGACACCAGACTCCTCTGACAGATACCAAAGTGTTCTCAAATGAGTTATTTTATGGGCTGAAGAAGCCACTGGGAGCAGTGGTACTTTGTTTCACATGCTCAGAGAAATATCCTGTTAAAAGTCAGAGAAAGATTAGGGTTTTCTTTTCTGAGGAGATCTCAAAAAACCCAAACAAGAAGATATATAATCTTCATAGGAAACTGCTACTGTTAGCTTACCCAGTGGCCTTTGGGGACCAAGAATATTCTATTTATTTGTCTTAAGTTTTTACGTCATTTGATCAGCAAGCCAAATGCATCTGTGTTGCCTCTGTCCTAACCAAGATGCCTCTAACCACAAAAAGGAGTTGTGAAATAAGAAAGGATAATTTTGACTCTTCCTTGGAGCCCAAACTGTGGTCTTGAATAAATTACTGCAATACTTAAAAGTATATAAAATCACTCTGTGAACCAGGAAGAAGAAAGGAAAATAAAATACTTCCTTTCATGGAAGTTTCCTAGCCAACAATACCTGTTGGCCATTTAGGGACTGGTCCTATTAGAGGAAGACTGAGATTATTAAGGGCTGAAGCTAAAAAAAGCATCCCAGTGCATGAGGCCAGCCATTGATCAGTGAATAAATACACTGAGTTTTACTCTCTGCCCTCCCTGGGGATTAAGCAATTCATTCACCAAGGCAGCAAATTGGTTGATCTCAGCTGCTTTAAAAGGATGGTACAGTCTTAAAAGGTTTAAATACGGAACATCTGGTGTTTAAAAAGAGGTGAGTGGATAACCAGTTCGGGATTGCTTACTTATTCACAACAGCACACTGGCTTAAAAGCCATTAGAAAGTAAGCAGTTTCTCACTTTAATCTCCAGGTCACTGGCTTTAGGAAAGCAGGTTATGCCTCTTCTTTCTGAAGTTGCTGGGAACGAGGCCGTAGGTACTGGGTGAAATAAGAGCAGAGCCTGAAGATTTAATTTCTTTCATATCT